GCCCTTTGGGTTTCCCAATTTGCCACAGATTCCCAGATGTCTTAGTTACTTTTCTTGACACTGAAACAAAATACCTAATGCCCAAAGTTTAAAGGAAGAAAGGTTTACTTAGTTCACAGTTTGTAGACGTTTCAATGAATCATCAGCTCACTCTGAGGCAGGGCAGCACATAGCAGAGGGACAACAGTTCATGGAATCAGAAAACAATAAAAGCAAGCCAGGAAAGGAAGGGTCAAATCTCTTTTCTCCTTCCATCCAGACTCTGGGATTAGGGTAGTGCCAATCCAATCAGTAGACTGATTCACAATCGTTCACCTTTAATCCTAGCACACTTATTCTTAGCATTGCATCACAAATCCATACATTCTTGATTTAGTCACCTCCAAAAAACTCTATGCTACAAGAAGCCCGGGGTGGGGGGCACATCGAGACACAAAGTATAACACTAGGCATGCTAGAAGCAACACTGTGAGATATAATTTTTGTCCTGCCTGATTTTGGTCTTGCTTTGTGCCCAATCCTTACTACCCTGATCATTTTTAACTTCTGGAATGGAAATGCCTATCTTGTACCACTGAATGTTAGAAGTATTTACCTTTCTTTATTTTTGTACCACGACTTGCAGTGAAGAGTATCTGCAATCTCAGAAGAGATTTGGGACCTGGACTTTTCACAATTACCAAAATTGTTAGGGTTTTGGCAAATCTTGGACATGGACTAAATGTCTTTTGCATAAAGTGACACAAATGAGTCTTTGGGAGGCCAGAGCGGAATGTTATGGTTGTGTTTAGAGGTTCCCCCAAAACCTCATGCAGTCATAGGTGGGCTTTTTCAGAAATGGCTGGTTATAAAGTATGACACTGGAATTGCTAGGATCAAGGGCACTAGGATTAAGAATATGAGCATTATCTACCATAAGTTGCCTGTGTAAGATATAAGCGATAAAATAAAACAGTCATTTTGTTTGCTTTGCTACCTTCTGTGTGCCATGAACTGTTTCTCCTCTGTGATGCTCATCTGCCATGCCAAATATAGACTGAAATATCTACAAACTGTGAGCGAAATAAACCTTTCCCACCTTAATTTTGGGCATCAGACATTTTGTCTCAGGAACAAGAAAAGTAACTAAGAATACTAAATACTAAATACTAAATAAATACTTGCATAAGGGGCTGGAGATTTAGCTCAGCAGCATAAGCACCTGCCTTGCAAGCAGGCAGTCATGAGTTCGATCCCCAGTACCGATAAAAAGGAAAAAGACAAACAAACAAACAAACAAACAAACAAAAAACCCAAAAAAACCCCTTGCATAATGAAATCATGTATAGTCAATCAAAATGGTGATCTAAAATTTTATACAGTATACCCAAATGACCTATTAATGTAGAAATACAGTAGGAAAAAAGTGTATATATTGGTGCATAAAGTAGACACTATTTTATTTAAAGACTACATATATCGAAACAGATTTTAAATTTGTAAGAAATGTAAACAGAGGTCATCACTGAGTAGTTACGGGATTTAGGGCTATTTTCTTATGGTTTTTATATTTTATAATTTTGCAAAATGAACCTGGGTCACCTGTATATAAAGAGATAATAATCTCTGAGATTAGAGGTGTAGTTCAGTAACAAAGCACTTGCCTAGCACGCACGAGGCCTTGAGTTCAATCCTCAGCACTGCAAAGAAAGAAAAAAGGAATGAAGGAGGAAGGAGGAGGGATGACCTAAAAGTAAAAAACAGTCACTTATTTTCTTAGGACATTCTGCCTTTTGAACAAAACTAATTTCTGAAGAAAAATAAAAACACACACAAACAACTATGTGAACAAAGCGAGAGAAACCAGAGACTAAAGGGTCACAAATTTTAAGTTGAATTACCAAAATGCAATTAAATTAAACATGTACTTCTAACTGAATGTGGAAAGAAAAAGGAAAGAAAGGATGGAAGAAGAAAAATACACAGGTTAAATTTTTTTTTTTTTTTTGATACCAGAGATTGAACTCACAACCTTGCACTTGCCAGGCAGGTGCTTACGCCGCTGAGCTAAATTCCTGGCAGGTTAAATTTTTGATTCTTTAGATTCTTCCTTTGTTCATCCATAACCTAAGCTGAGAAACTAGTAAAACTATAATTAGCAGCGCTTATAAGTACATTAAATAAAAACAATTCAATACAAAACTATGTTAAAATAAGAAAAGACCAAAATGAAGAGATTTAAGAAAAAAGCTCTCTTTAGCCATAAAAATGTTAAAATACCGAAACAGGCACATTTTGAAGTCATTTTCCTTAAAGCTGTGTTCTACACATGTATCATTTATCTAACTAAATACTGGTGAGTAAGATAGGCATCTTTCAAACACATTTTCTGCTCTATGATTGATTTCCAACCAAACTGGGCAGAAAACTATTCATATCACCATTCATGATCACTCTGTATACTAAAAGAGAAGAACCGTAAGATCTTAAAATATTAGGAGGATGTAAGGCAGGAAAGTACATTGTACTAGTGTTAACACATAAAACTGACCAGATATAGTATTTAGAAATAATTCAATCAAAAATCAAAACTGGCATTATTTACTCTGTAAAATGAATTATACTATAAACTTCCAGATACATCTACAAAAATGCTCTCTCCTAGTGCTCTATGTTTTTAAGTACACAATAAAACAGCTAATCTATGGTATCACAGAAATTGTATCACAGATCAAAGAGGTGATAATAAACGTTACACAACATCAAACTCGTAACAGAGATGGTATTTCTCAGAGTGGCAACCAAAGGTCCAGACTGCCTATATCACGTGCAAGAGGAGATCATAGCTACATGTCTGTAACCTACATGGGTATGCAGCAATGAGGAACTCAAACGACTTTAACGGGTTATTTTAGAAATGTGAGGACTGACTAGGTTCTTAGGAAAACAAAGTCATATATCATGTCCTCTGAAATACCTCAAAGATCTTAAACCCACTGGTGATACATCAAAGATAACTCATAGGTGCTTTAAAAACTAGATGGGAAAGACTAAAAAATTATTTTATCCCTATATAGCTGGTAAGATGCTACCCTTGTCCCCAAAATAGTTTAAGAAAACATGAGGTTGTATGTGAAATAATGTGATTATAAATATGAAAACTGCGATAAAATTAAACTCCTTTATAGTTCTATAATTTTATAAAGTTGGGAAAAGTTCAACCCGCCATTGTTGTATTATTATATACATAATATGGTCAATATCACTGAAATGTCATGGAAAAAATACACATGGTTCCTATTTTACTCAGCATAGATCTCCCTTTCTAATATTCATAAGAGTCTTAGTGGGGAAAGTACAAAGTGTGCTTTTTTTTTTCCTGGTTTTTTTTTTTTTTTTTTTTTGAGACAAGGTTTTGCTTATGTAATCTTAATTTGAACTCACTATTATAGCCTAGGCTGTTCTAGAGCTCATGGTGATTCTCCTGTCTTAGCCTCCCCCAAGTGCTGGTATACAGGCATGCATCACCACACCCTGCTAAAGTGTACTTTTTTACATTTCCCATATTTAAAATTATTTATGTTTGATACCGAGGAAAAAACAAATTTACATGAAAAAAGAAACTAAAATTGTCCATAATGCATACTTCAAATATAACTATGAACATTGTAGTGTATTTTCTTTCAAGTACATTTTCAATAAAAACATATATCTTTTACTTTTTCATTTTAACATAAACAGGGTAAGTATATAGTATGCATACTATATACTTCCTTCCCTTCAGTCTAATATTCTTACATGTTATTAACTACTGCATAATAATGGCTGCATGTGTTTCAATTATGAACATAATTAAACAGTTTAATACACAATAGTAAAAAAGAAATGGAAACAACCTTAGCACTATGATGAGCAACCTTATATATCTTCTGCATGTGTATCTGATTATTTCCTTGAGATTCTAAAACTGTGCAAGTATGTTTTCAGACTTCATTTAGAAGTCCGTACCAGGAATACATAAGGTATCTTAAACTGTAGTATCCTAAAAACACCTTGAAAACCTTTAGTTTTCATCATTAAAAAATCACTTTCAATACGATGGAAACTTTTTTTTCTAGTGAGTTACAGTAAAATATGGTGAGCATATAAGGAAACACTAAGTATGATGTAACACTTTGGGAACATAATCTGATACTAAAATAACAAATGGTACTGATTTTAAAATTTATACAAGAATTATTAAGAAAATCTTACAAAATGACAGAAGTAAACAATCATGATTTTTGGCATATATGAAAAAAGTGATTGGCACAGTTTAAAAACAAATTTACAAAATGGTGACATTAACAATGAGTAAATGCTTACAGTTATTTTTTAGCTACTACAGTAGTTGAAAATAAAAGTAGGACATACCCAATAAGAAATATAATATATTCCTGTTAAGTTTAAAAGTTTTTTTCTATTATTAATCATTATCAGCATCATTAATACCAGTATTACTACTGAGGGTACATCTCCTTTGATCAATAGAAAAAAGGTTCCACACATTTTTGAAAGTATGCCAGTGAAGAGCTAAGTATATAGATTAGAAATATGTCACCCTTACAGGCTTATGACTTTGCAAAAGATCAGAAAAATAAAAAAAAATTAATCTTCTGCCTTAATCAATATCCAAAAATTGTTTTATAGCAACTTTAGCTCTTCGGACCTTAGAAAAAATTTTGAGAAAAATATAATGAAAAGTCAATGTATAAATTCACTTAGTCATAGATTCTCCTTTCCAGTAATCACAATGTGCAGCTAAGAACAAAGACTATAAACAATAAGAAAAAAAACTGAAGGGATAGCTTTTTAGAAGACATTTGATTGAATGTTCATTTAATTTGATTTTGTTAACACAACTGCCATTTATTTGTTTGAGAGAGGGTCTCACTATGTAGTTTAGGCTGGCTTGAACTCACCATCTTTTATTTGTTACATGGGACAGGAGGTTACAATTACAATAAAATTTTTAAATTTACCTTCAAATAAACTGAGGTCTCTTCGTAGCCGTGGTCCATAAAGCCCTTCTAAAATACTCTCAAAACCTGTGTTTTTAAACAGAGAGAAGAGGATTAACTAATGGAAAAGTTTCACAGGAAGCTTCACAGGAGTTAAAAACTACAAACTGTGTATTAACTAGCAAATTATTAGCATACTATAAGCATTTAATTAATCTGGTACATAACATACAACATAATAAAACAATCACACAACCATCATAAATTACATGATTGTAAAGAAAATATGCAAATATAAATATTCACTACTGTTATGACATAGATACAAATATCCCCCAAAGATTTGTGTGTCAAAGGCTTGATTTCTAGCGTAGTAATATTCAGAAATGGGACCTAGAAATTTGAATGGATCATGTGGCTACTAACCACACTGTTTATATCTCGGTGTCTCCAGAAGTATCCTGCACTCTTAAGCAGAGCTCCTGAAATGTGACTGAATCATAAGGACACTATAGCTAAATCTGATGTTAGGAGGATGGGCCTTGTCAGAAAAGGTGAGTCAAAGGGAATGTGACCTGGAAAGATTTATCTCCTTTCTCAGCTCCCTTCTTACCTCTCTGCTTTCTGGCAACCATGACATGGGCTGCTCTTCCTCCACTATATTGTACCCCTCTTGCCATACTGCCCTGCCTTGGAGCCAGTCATCTATGGATTAAAAATTTGAGCCAAAATAAACTTCTCCTCTTTTAAATTGTATGTATTGTGCTCCAGTGACCACAAAGTGAGTAAGACAATAGGTGAATGGACCATTAGGAAGAGGGACCTAGCTGAAGGGAGTGGGTCACAAGAGTGCAGTGTTGGAAACTATACCTTGTCCCTGGTTTATTCTTTCTGTCTCTCTCTGCAACCTGACTGCCAACAGGTAAGTCTCTCTGCTCTACCATATGTTCACCATGATGTGCAATCTCAACACAGGCCCAGGAGCAATACTCCAAGTGATCATGAACTAAAACCTCTGAGACTCCGATCCAAAAGAAATCTTTCCTTGTTTGTTATTTTCAGGTATTTTGTCACAATGACAACTAACCATGAAACTACTAAAGCAAGCATATATGCTACTTAGAAATATTCTTGGGTTAACATAGTTAAGAACCACATAATGATGTAGTAAATTAACTCCATAGATACCTGTCCCACAACACTGTAACTGAGCTGAAAGATTCCTATAGACTAGTATTTTTAATGTATGCATCTTTTCAATGTTATGATCTATTTAGACATACAAGTATTTATCAATGTGCTACACTTGCCTATAATATTCAGTAATATACAGGTTTAGAGCTTGGGAGCCACAGGCGATACCATTTAGATTTGTATAAGAACTCTGCATGTGTCTGCAAACACTGAAATTGCCCAACAGTACATTTCTCAGGATGTATCTCTGCTGCTAAGGATGAGTGAGTGATTGTATTATGACCAAATTTCTTATGTAGTAATGCTGTAGAGAGAAGAATCTTACAGAAGGTATGTATTAGAATACTATTTATATTTGTTTAATAATGTTTAGAAACAGCACCTTTAATCTCAATTACAAGAATAACTGAGTGGCTAGGAGAGATTCCTGATGAGAAAAGTGTGATATAAAACTTAAACCTACTAAAAAAAAAAAAAACCTTAAACCTACTTGTAAAAATTCAAATAAAACAATTTGCTCATTGCTATGGACTGTTTTCAATTTTAAAGAAAAACATTACTGAAAATCTTGTCAAGTTAACAAAAACCCTAGTTTATTAATGCACTAACTATTCTAATTCCTGGGCATAGTAACTTTAAGATTTTATAATTTTCCTTTTTTTAAATATCATTTACATCATATTCAATTTCAAGGAGCTATAAACTATATGGAGTTTTGAGGGAGGGGTGGAGGGCCCATGATGACAAAATAATTAGAAAACCAACAAAATGAACTAATCTAAGTATGTACACATCAGGGAGGAAAAAACTAAAGATGGCAATGACAGACCCTAATGAAAGAAAAAGGAGACTTTCTCAGTGATACTCCTAAATAACAAATCATTAAAAATAATTATAGGATCCTTTAAAAAACATTTAACGTATCCAAAATTTCTTAACATCTCTGGGATTTACCTTAAAATCAATGTGTTATAGTGAAAAAGTGGCAACATTTTCCATATAATACAACATAAACTAGTGATGCATATTGCAACTGACAAAGTCTTACACTTGACTGAGTAAGGTAGTTATCAAGGTATTTGGTTAGTAAGTACTTAATAAAATATCTGTGACACTGAGTTTTGCAAAAATATCTGTAAAATATTGCCTTAATACTAGCTTTCATGAATGGAAATTTTAGGTAGAAGAGGAACTTTTAAGAATGCTACAGAAGAAAGTTTTATACTGGATAAACACTCAAGACATAAACATCAAAATTCTCTTTCTGTTGTCCTAGTTCTATTTCGCTATGATCAGTGTGTTTCAAAAACATTGCTGCAACTCTCTATTTTAGGATGTTAGCCTGTAGTATACGGGACAAAATGTATGCCTCTACCTATATAAGGTTACTGAAATAAAACAGTTCACGTCTCCTTGATTTACACCTGAAGAGGAAAAAACAAACAGCTAATACTTTTGTTCTGAGGTGTGATTGAAAAATACAGTGAATGCTTAAAATTTAAAAATTTATTACAGTAAAACACACAATGCCATTAATTACGCTCAAAACATCCACCCTTGCTTCAATCATTCTTGCCACTTTCTGTAGCAGTTCTGAAAGTTCTCTTTCATTAGTTTCCCTGATGTGGCTCCCTCAATACATTCAACACATACACAATCTTTAACTCTGAGAAGAGCCAGGAATCCAGTGCCAGATGTGATCAAAAAGGTGGATAAGGACACACTGTAGTGTTTTTACTTGGAAAAAACCTGCTGTGCCAGAATCAATGTATTACATGAACATAGGCATGATGGAGTATGAAATCATTTGTCCATTCCTCAGGCCATTTTCTACATAAATCATTTCTTAAATAATAAACTCTCATAATATTCAGAGTTCCTTGAAGTATTTCTGGGTAAAATTCAGCTCAAGTGATTCCATTAGTTCACCTTGATTTTGGATCTTGCCTAACATTTTTTTTTTCACATGAAAACTGAGTGCTTTCCATTTGGAGGTCAACATTTAGTTTAGTATCACAGCCATAGACCAAAATTTCGTCTCCCATGAAGATATTTCTTAGAAAGCTGGAATCTGAAATTATACAACTGTGCAACTCCAATGAAATATGCTATTCAGAATCCATGATTTATGTTATACTTTAAAATACATATTCTCACCATCATAGCTTACAACTGGGACACACTGAAGCTGAAATTTGTCACACACTGTTACTGAGGTTTACTGCTTCTTGCTGTTTGTAATGAAGATCCACGCCCCTTTCTGTTTGATGGGATTTTACAGTAGCAATCCCAGTATTTGGTTTTAATCACATCTTATATTGTTTCTTAATTCCTCCGAAGATAACATTAAGATCTTACATATATCCTGGTAAACCTATATTCATACTGCAGTGCTGACACTGGTATAATTATTATCTTTAGTTAAAAACTTTGTTTCCTGCAAATTTTTAGAGTAGCAATGGTATCTGCATATTGACTTTGCATGGAGTAACTCTCTAATTATAATCTATCTGTAGGTTCCTGGAGATTCTGTGCTTATACATGCATATTCTCTGTCAGTAATAATTTCAATTTTTTTCCTTTGTAAATATTTGTTTTCTTTTTTCTTCTTACCTTACTGCTTTGGTGGACCTCCATTATGAAGTACAAAAGGAGTGGTGATAGTGTGCAGCCTTGATTTATATTCAATCTAAGTGGGAAAGCATTCAAAGTATCAATATTAAGTACAGTATTTCATGTATGCTTCTAAACTAAATACCTCATCAGATTAAGAAACTATTTTAAAATCTAGTTTGTGTGGAATTTTTCTTTAAACGATGACTGGATGTTGAATTTTATCTGATTCTGAAATCTACTACAATAATCATGATATTTTTCTTTTTAAATCCCTTAATACAGTGACTTTCACTGCTAGATAGCTAATGTTAAACTAACCTGCTTCCATTCCCAGGAAAACAAATTATCCTGTAGTATTCCTAAAGTTTTGCCAGGTTTATCATTCCACTATTTTCTCTAAAGTCTTTGCACCTATGTTCATCATTGAAACTGGACTATACAAAAGCTTCTCATATACCTGTCAAATTTTGATATTAAATGTGTAACAATGCTCCTTTTCCCCCTTGGACTCTAGAAAGATATAACAGTTATAACTCTGTTATATATAACTCTTAAAATGAGTGGCAATGCTCCTCTTACTCTGGAGTTCCAGAAAAAAATATGAAATGAATGATTTTTCTACTTGAGTAAGTTCAAGAAATGCAAGTAGCTCATTGCAGCAAAAGTCTTTTGAAGTATCTCCTATTAATCCTTTTATATTAACTTTCAAAGGACTATTAAAATATTCCATTTGTTATATTATTCTGAAAACTTGTTCATGTGAACTTTTTCAATCTATTTTTACATAGTTTTTATTATATGCTTTTATCCAGTGTTAACAGCATCCAAAATCTGTTTTTCATTCCTTATTGTTCTCTTTTTGTTCCCCCAATGAAGCTCATTAGAAGTTTCTCAATTTTGTTTCCAGGACTGTACTTTAAAGGGATTCCTTTTGATTTCTTGATTTTTCTTTACTGGTTTGTTCTCTTATTATGTAGTTTCTACTCCAGCTCTAATTCTATTGTTCTAATTTGTTCTAATTTCTCTAATTCTGGAGATGACAGTGTACATACTAACATTCAGCCTTTCTTTTTTAATATGCACACATAATGCTATACATTTCTACCTAAACAATACTCCTGTAAGTTGAACACTACAATTTTTAATATAGTATTTTCTTTATTATTCAAAATATTTTCTAGTTTTCAAAATGACTTTTGTTCTGATCATGGGTTTTGGGAAGCCTCTTTTTTAACTTTCAAATACAAAAGGATAGTTTATCCCTCTTTAAAATAGAT